TCTTCCGGCCCGTCTTACACCGAGAAAAATCACGGAAAAATAGTGTCAGAGGTTATCCCCTAAAATTGTGGGACTACCCCAATTTGTTGGATGATATGGACATTTCCAGTTAATTTTGGTAGCACCGCGACTGAAGTTGGGGTAGTACCGCAACATTTGGGTTAGTAACCTAATTTATCGGGATACTACAAAAATTAATTGGAATACTACCACAATTAATCGGGGTATTACCACACTTAATTGGGAATAGACGTTGCTTGATTGAGAAGCCTGCCTAAACCGTCATACCCTGGAAAAAAAACACATTGGATCTAGAGTCCAGACTCTGAAAAAACATCGACAAGAAAAAATACTCTTGATTAAATCAGATTTATTCTTTAATCAAGAACCAAGCCTCTTCATTTGAGCGGATTTCCTTTTGATTTAAGCTTACATCTGATCAAAGAGTCATTTTCTCGTGAACGTTTTCAAGAGTCTGAACTCTAGATCCAATGTGTTTTTTATTTATCCCCCCCCCCCTCCCCCCGTGTAGTACGCAATTGGACTCACTCCGAGTATTGGATTTCTTGTGACCGGGCAATTCAAATCTCCCGGAACCAATGTAATTTGGCGATTCAGCACAGGGAAGAATTTTATGAGCGCCGCCGCCCGCGGCCGGCTCACCATGGTCAAAAACTCAAGAATAAGAAGAAATAAGTCGGATGATGACTGAAAGATCACGAAAGTTTCGTAAGTGATGTTTTTTGAGTAGCTAATTTTGAATGTGATGTCGAATTGCATGTATTTTAACAGGCACGCTGCGGCGCGGTGTGCTACCAGCTGGAGACGCGCTCTGACGCCTACAAACCTAAGGGGCTACTTCACGCATTGCGCAATGCTTGAGGTATCCCCTTAGGTTTGCAGGCGTCAGTGCGCGTTTCGAGCTGACAGCACGCCGCGCCGCGCCGCGGCTCTTCCGGGCGGGTAGTGAAGGATTTCTTTGCGGGGAGAGCTCCCTGGCGGAGAGACTCGTGTATCGTGTAGATTTATTTTTATTTAAATTTTCAACTTTTAGAATTACGCACTGGTCGTGTGCAGTAATTAGTGAACTCTCAATGCTAGATGAAGTATTATTATGAAGGCGCGGATCGTACGCCATGAGCGATGCGGACGGCGCGTGGAAATCTCCCCTGTGCTCTGTCGGTAATATAAAGACGTTAATATCTTACTTAGGAGTTAATTTCGGTAATTTTCGATGCAAGAATCGTGTTCTACGTGAAATTCTGATTAAGAAACGTGTCGGAATACTTAACTGTGCACCTTGTCACGTGGTCCATTGTGTTGATTTCGGTTCCGTTTGCGGTGAACTTAGCACCGGAAACAATGGAGAGACTGGGAAACTCTGGGGTTAACCGAAGGCTTGGGTTTTTTGTTGTTTTACTTCCCATATTAGCACGAAATGTCGATTACGTTTTCTTTCCGTGTAGAATACCTGATTTCCATCCATTTCTCTAATTGCTCATTCTCTAAAAATGCATGGGGTACCACGACAGTACACAAGTTAACCAGTTGAATGTAAGGCGCAACAAACCCTCATGCGGCGAGAAATGTGGATTCCTATACTCATTGCTCCTCTGACGTAAGGGCCTATCCTATTTCCACATGAGCCCTGGAAGGCACAGAGTCATATGGAGAACAGAGCTCATGTGGATATTGAGATACGCCCTTACGTCAGAGGAGCGACCTATTGTCCCGCACAATTCGTCACTCCTCTGACTGAGGGCGTATTTCTATTTCCAAATGAGCTCTGGAAAGAGACCACAAGACAAGGTACATTAAGCAATCTGATACTACAGAATTTCACGTAAAACACGATTCGCACAACGAAAATTACTGACACCAACTCCTAACGAAGATATTAACGTTTTTATTTCACATTGGTTGCGAGGAATTTGAACTGCCCGCTCACAAGTTACTCAAAGCTCTACGCGAGTCAAATCGCGCACTACAATGGTTTCAGCAAGCTTCTCAATCGAGCAATGTTCGTTTCCCACCATTTTTTGTTCAAACTGAAAGCAATTTGCTATAGCTGAGCCAAAGCGTCAAAAATGAGGTTGCCAGATGTTTATATCGCAGAAAATTGTCATGATAATGGTTAGCGCGCGATGTGAACCACGTGGAGCATTGAGTTTTGATGAGCGGGTGGTTGGAATTCACGCATCAGGAATCATTGAATATCTTTATGAAGAGTTGATTTCGGTAATTTTTTTTGTGCGCATCGTGGTTTACGTGAAATTTTGGGAATGAAACATGTATCAGAATGATGAGTTTGTCTGGTGGTCCATTACGACGAATTGAGATTCCAAAAAAAGACTATACGGTGGTCATTGGAACGGGCGTATTATAAATACCAGGGATATTTATTAGCTAATCTAAGCTGCACAGGACATCATACTTTCCGATCGCATCATCCTCCTTCCCTGAAGCGGTTGTCCGCCTGTCGAGTTCTGAGCAGGAATCGGTGTGGTATGTCTCCGTGGGAAATGTGTTGACACAGATGTGAACGAGCTTCAAAACGTGACGGCTATGATTCTAAGTTGCGAAGTTTTAGGAGACCGAAGAACAACATCAAGTCCATGATACTTCCAAAAAAACAATTGAAAATTGCACCAAGCTGTGGTAGCTCAGTGATTTGTCTGCTGTGTTTGTTTTCAAAACATTCCGATGTTGCAAAATGGAGATAATAAATGTAATATATTTGCCTGGTTAACTGATGGAATTATTGCCCCCCCCCCCCCGAGCAGAATTAGCTCCCAATTTATGCGGCACATAACCACGTGGTGCTACACGTATGATTGAAAAATATACCAACTTTGCGCAAGACTTTAAAAAAAAATTAATATCTGTATTTTAGAAATAATTGAGTCGATATATGATTTCTGAGTGTATAGAGGATTTAAATGAACATTTCGGGGAACAATCCAGTAAAATGTGAGACTTGCAGCGAAGTTAAGAGCGTTTAATTTTCCAGTTTAGGAAGTGTAATTTTGAAAGAGAAAGTATATGAAATATAATATTCAATGATCAGAAGCAAAGTTGCCGGACCGTAATGCACTTTGTCCTTCACATAATAAAATAGCTTTTAACTACAAGGATCTCAACGTGTTCTCAAGAAGTTCTACAAAAGTTTACCGAAGAAGTCCCAAAATGGGACCGACATGATAGTTGGACAAATAATTCAATTGTCATTGTTTAATGATGGACCTCCCCCAATTTCTTCGCAAGGTATCGGTACGAGCCTTTAATCAATGACTCGGTAACACAGGGTATCCAAGATCTACAAGGAAGAATCATCATTTGTATTTTAGCTTGAAAGCATTTCAAGAGGCACACTTGCAGGAAGGTAACACTACGATGGGTTGGCAGCGTACACTATTTCAAGGAAAAAAATCTGCACAGTGACTAGGAAGCAACCATTAATGGTTAGTTTGACCACCTTTTTTCCTGTTTATTGATTTAATGTGTGATTGAATCCCACATTTTTAATCTTTATCAATGATCAAAATAGACGGTCATAGCTGCGATTTTTTTGTCGAAACAAAGACGAACATACGACGTGTGAATTTCGAAAGGATTATAAACTCGATCTAATCAATGCACTGGCGATACAAGGTGCAACTGTATCAATGATATCACGATGCAACAGGTGCTGGCAGGAGCAAGAAGCCTGCACTGAGAAAAAACTATATGGTTTATAAACCTATTAGAGGTAAATATGGAACACCTATAATAGTCGTAAATAAACTAATGATTCTCGGTCTGTGAACCATACTAAGGTCTCTGTACCTAATTAAGGTACAGAGACCATAACTAAGGTATATGTGCTATTATTATATGTAGAGGTACTACTATTAGTGGTGTTCCATATTTACCACTAATAGGTTTATGAGCCATAGTTTTTTCTCAGTGTGCATCGTGAGTGTACTAAAGAAGGATGAGATTTTATGAGCATATTTTTAAGACTTCCATTTCTACCAGAAAATAAATTTCCTTTCAGACAATTTCCACTGTTTGCGAAAACATTGCGCATTAACTTAAAACCTAACCATATGATGTAGACGAGGCGTTGATTAGAACGGATAAATGCGAAAATAAATAGGTCCAGGACATAACAGCACGGATGCTTATGCACTGAGGAAAATGGATCTTCAGTAAAACCTTATTTTCAATAAAACTAATACGAAAAATGAAGCGCGTTTTCCCTAACGGTGTATTCCAAAATATACCTCATCTTTGAGACATAAATTAATTAGTCCAGTAAGACCGCCGTAGTGGACACTTTAACCCTTATAAATAAGAAAACCGACTCGAAAGACACAATCGCATCCATCGTAGAAAATTACTCATAAATGTAAAGAAAACAATGAACAACCACGAAGGCTCAATCTTGTAAATCCTGTCAATTCAAGATACAGGACAAAACGTGTAAACGAAACAAAAATTTCGGAATCAGGCTGCGCTGGATGTCGAAAAATTAATTTATATCCCCCCCCCCCCCCCNCGATTGATCTTAAATAAGATCCGCTTGTCCGCCAGTGAGGTGCACATTAAGAAAAAGTGTCACTAGAAAATAAAGCATTCTCGAAAACATGTACTGCCATTTGCAAATTTTCCACTAAAGCAGCTCATCACACAGGACCAAAACGCATCCGAGGATCTAACTTTTTGGAGGTAATCTACACGGTCTCTTGGATAATTGGCGAGATTTATGGTCAACATTTTTTTAGAACAAGCAGGTAAAATATTTCATGTGTTTCACCAGACTCAAGACCCGGTGTTTATAAGGACGGCAGAAACCCTGTCCCTGTCTTCAAATGGCTCGTGACAGTGAGTAAACGAACATCGCAGAGATGAACCACACCCTCTGTACATATTAGGAACTCCTTTTCATAAATATTTTGTTCAAGTTATTTTTATCATCTTTAATAAATACACTATTGTGCGTTAGTCACGATATATTTTTCTTATTTTTGCGGCAAAATTGAATAGAAAATACTATACCATTTGCCAACATGGTTACAGTATGACTAAAAATTGGCAAAATATGTTAGTTTTCTCGGGAGACAAACCTTCCGCAACGAACAGTGAGCAGACTTGAATACACTCATCTGGAGCAAACAAATTAACGTAGAGACAAGGTGGCTAAACAATTAAATTGTTGTTCGGTGAGATAGATCAGTGTCGTTTGTGCATCCTCCCAAGGTAGTAACTGGTCCCTCCACATGGATTTTAGCGCTCTTTTTAAACTCATGGTTGTCCTCCTCGTGAGTAAAAATTACCTTTGAAAATCTGAAGATTCGATATTATACTGCCGTGCTACGGAAGAGCGCCGTATGAACATTCGAGAGTTGCCAAATTTTTCTTACTAAAACATGTATTTGTGACAAGATTTATGCATATTTTTCCTCGAAATTTTCGGATACTTAAGATTAAATTGTGTAAAAAATGGTCTGGAAATTTTGGAAACTAATTTTCACAACTTTCCTATTGAATTCGGGTTTTATCGGAGGAAACTTTGCAACGTCAAAGGCTCATACGGCGTTTTTCTTAGCACGACAGGATATCTCTGTACTGCTGTGAGAGAAAAAATGCATCACTGTAATATACGTATGTTGTCTTCGTCGGTATTCCACATTTTAGAGAAGAGTTTTTGATTTCATTAGTAGTCGTCCTGTTATCTGATATTTTCCGACAATTTCGCAATAATCATGATTCTTCGCGTTTAACACAAAAACAGCACTCATAATGAGCTTGATGGTAACCACCAGGAACAAGAATTATCGCAAAAAACACTAAAAATGTTTATCGAATGACAGAAAAAATTAATACATTGCTGAGCACGGCCATCTCAAGGAATAAGAGCAATCTACTCCGTTGAAAACTTACTTAAACTAAGACGTACATCAGCAGAGAAAACAAATTGTAATTTTATAAGACACATTATGAGTTGTGAAAAATTTTTAACGGCAAAGACACTATAGAGGTAAAAAAAATTAATAGGTAAAAAGGACTTAAAAGGTAGATATGGATGATTCGGGGGTGCACGGTTTCGGCAAACTTACGTTTGCCGAAACCGTGCACCTTGAAAGGCACATGGGGAGAACAGAGCCATATTAAGTTTGAGCAGCACTTCTGGGAATAAGAAAGGGATTCATATCGGCTGGGTGGAAAAAATGACATTCTGCTGGAACGTTTATTTCCCGTTAGAATGCAGATTTGGCGGTTTTTTAGGTTAGTCAATTCCACCAGAGAAAGTAAAAACAATGATAGTCATTACAAAGTTTGTTCGGTTAGTTTTTTTTTATTTTCTTTTTCGTGGTTAGAATTACTTTGGTAGAATATCATTTTGTTGGATTTGAGATAGTGACAAAAATGCCGCTTGTTTGCAGGTCTTTGCTAATCTTAGGGCACCCGTATGAGAGGGATTATTCAGATTGCGTGCGTATTTTTGTTCTAGTGTTCACGTTTGCATAGTGCTATTTTTTGTATGACTGCAAGATTGATTGATGTTGCAGGGCGCCATTGCTCTGACGTCAGCAAACCCTTGTGGTAAAAAACGCTTCAGGGGCGGTTATCGAGGCGGTTATGGCGGCGGCGGCGTCATCGGAGGACGCGGCTATGGCGGCGGTTGCTGATCATCATCTAGGAGAATTTTTCTAACTGGCTGAACCGTTTCAATTGAAGAGTGTAATATTGACATGCAGAGTCAACATTCGGATTTACAGTGAAAGAAGTTTCATGCGAGGAATTTGGAATCTTGTTAGAATAAACCTCTTGAATAAAGATCATCGCAATTATGTTAAGAAGCTTCTTTATTGTTCTCGTCCGAGTGACCTAAAGACCAAAGGCCCTACCCGGCTTCTACTCTTATAACGGCAGGTCCATAATTTCGGTGATGCCATACCATCAGAATCCCATTCGGGAGTCGTTATCTCCGAGTTTCCGAAGATACCGCTTACTGTATCGTTTTTATTCTCTCTTTTCTTGAAGGAGGTACACTGAGAAAAAACTATGGCTTATAAACCTATTAGAGGTAAATATGGAACACCACTAATAGTAGTACCTCTACATATAATAATAGCACATATACCTTAGTTATGGTACCTGTACCTCAATTAGGTACAGAGACCTTAGTGTGGTTCACAGACCGAGAATCATTAGTTTATTTACGACTATTATAGGTGTTCCATATTTACCTCTAATAGGTTTATAAACCATAGTTTTTTCTCAGTGTAGAGGGCTTCAACGAGCACCTCAAATCAAGAGTTTGCATTTAGTTGCTTGAAATGTATGGGCCACGATGACAAGGCTGGGGCAGGCGAATAATACGCATGCGACAGTGTCGCTCGCTAACGACCCAAGCTCGGCGGGGATCTCCTGACGAGGCAATAAAAAATCAGAGACGTAGCGGCCGAAATTGAACTGATAAGGATACTTACCTGTTCCTGTTACGATGGAGGAAAATAAAAGTCCCTCAGCGATAAAAGTTTTACAGAACTCGCAAGAATTCTTTGCAACGCGCTGTCCGTTGGAGATGTTGTAACGTTTTACCTACCCTATTTCCGATATTCCTGGCTTAAAAATTTCGGAACGTTATGCGATTTCATTATCTCATCACGAGCATAAATGATTTTCTGAACGTCTTAAATTATTGTCTCTTCGCGACCTCGGTATAAATTGTAAGTTTTAATGCTGAAAGGAACCATGTGTAAATGAATGAAGTCAGAAGGAACTATAATGATGATGCTTAAAAATATATTCACGTAGCATCTTTCGATTTAATACATTGTTACGTTCTTCCCTTTAGAATAGACACATTCATTTTTAATCCCGTATAATTTTTAATCGGCCTTTGAATTTTTCAAGTATGCATGCTCTTTCGACGCTGATGAAGGCTTCTCATTAAACATTTTTTAAGAATCCTACATGGTTAAAGAATGCCCGAGAAGGTTCTGATCATCAATTCCAGGAACAAAGACCCAGATTTGGCGGATTATACCAGACCTTTCTGGAGTTATGCGATTTTCAGGGCTTAAATTCTGAGATTAAATATTCAATTCTGATGTAACCGGTGAAATCAGTTACCAGTCGTGCTTCTTGACCGTTCTGCATTTCATTAGGCATTCAAATGTAAGTAATTTTCTTTCATCAAATCACAGATACTTCTTATAATACTTGTTAACTACGTCAAACTTATAATCTCTTTTGTTCAAGTCAACTGATTTCCTTTTCCACTTCACCTGTGAATTTAAGTTCAGGGTCAAGTTGTTTGGACTGATGCTACTCTTTCCCGTTGACGCTATTCAACTCGAGTTGAAGAAATTACTGTAACTTTAGATCCGGGCGCAAGTCAGCGAGAGACCCGAAATGCGGGCGTCTCTACCGATCCGATCCCGCTCTCGAAGCCTCTGCCGCACAGTGGATCGAGGTAATAGGTGAGGTCGGACAAAATTTGGAAACTTTAAACGCTTGTAACTCCGTTCATACAAACTTTTAAGGTTCTAAAAGTAAATCCATTGGTTTCCTCGTGAAATTTTCTTCTAGAAGCACCCCTTAGAATTTAAAATTTGACGGAATAAACGTCAAAATTTGCAGTTTCAGTAAAAAATGTCATGTCCGACCTTTCCGATTGACTTAATCCACTGCGTGCCAGGAGTAACTTTCGGCTTCTCCGGAAGGGAGGCCCGGAACTTCGCACTCACAGATAAGCGGAGCTGTCCACGCGGGAGTGTAATGCCTCGATCTGATCGGCAAAACAGATTTGCACGGTGTACTTGTATCTGTTTATATTTAGTGTATAGAAACCATCGAATCTCGAGATATTCTCGGGGCATCCCTCATTGAAGGTGGAACGCTTTTATGCACTGATACAAATATTTGTGTTACAAATGAAAAAATTAAACACTAAAAAGCGGCCCAAAACTGTATATAACAAGGTGGAGAAATGCACTGAGAAAAAACTATGGTTTATAAACCTATTAGAGGTAAATATGGAACACCTATAATAGTCGTAAATAAACTAATGATTCTCGGTCTGTGAACCATACTAAGGTCTCTGTACCTAATTAAGGTACCCCGTACCATAACTAAGGTATATGTGCTATTATTATATGTAGAGGTACTACTATTAGTGGTGTTCCATATTTACCTCTAATAGGTTTATAAGCCATAGTTTTTTCTCAGTGTGGTGCTGGGTCCACACCATTTCGCGGGGAAACAAAGCCAAGAAATACCAAAAATTAAAATAACTCCAATGGACTCCAACTTAATATTCCATTGCAAACTGCCTGAGCTGAACACTCTCCCCCCTCAGTCTCGTACTGGTGCGCATTAGAGTTCTAAAAATTTATTTTAGACTCTGATTTTAATTTTTGGTATTTCTTGGCTTTGTTTCCCCGCGAAATGGTGTGGACCCAGCGCCATTTCTCCACCTTATTTGTGTTACTTTTGGTTTATGAAGGATTATTCTCATTCAATTTACCAAGATCAGCCTACAGATATTTCCAAATAGCAAAACTTCCACCCGTTCCATATATTTTCATTTCAAAAAAGACGATGCGCTACAGTGAGTACGTCAAAAATAAAGCAGCCACTCTCCCTTTATCCGCAATTCATTAGAAATTGAACGCAAAAACCTAAATGATATCAGTAGCGTGGCGTGAAGGATCGATTATCGATATTTCCCCATTTGAAGCTATGGTCAAGAATCGATTATTATGGTGTCCACTGCGAACACCCTGCCTATCGATCCTTTTTCATAGGTTTAAATGGCAGATCAATCGATACATCGCAAAGCACGCCACGCCACTGAATGATATGATTCCGATGAATACCCCTCAGGGGCGATAAGGCCTCCGGTTAATTAGAAATTGAACGCAAATAAATGATATCATCCCTCAGGGGCGATGAGGAGGTATATATATTACAGTTTCACGCTTCAAAAACTATAGAATTTTTTGTCGCTGAAGAAAGCCAAAAAGTAAGGATGTGCATCAGCTCAAGGACATCTGGATGGCTGAATGTGGAAGAAAGTTCACAACTACGCAGAGGAACACTGGAGCGCAGTTTGCAAAGCGGGGCATCTTTGTCTGGGAAAATCTTAGTTAACGCACCAGTTCCCGATACCCATTTCAATATTCCTTCGCCCTTGGTTCGGGATGTTTTCCCCCGGAAACGGAAACAGCTCTTGTACCAGTGCATTCCTTAACCGAGTTCTCGTGAATAAAATTAATCTGTTGTCGAGGAATAAAAATAGCTCCGGGAGCAGAAGGGTGGTGCGGCATTGTCAAATATAGAAAGCTAACATCCAATTTTCGCACATGAGAGCTTGGAGCTAGCGTAAGGCAAGTATGAAATTTTTCAATTATTATCTGTTTGCGCAACTGGATCATTTACGTCGAAGCGTCATTTATTCGAGAGGGTGACTTGACCCTCTAAAGTCATATTACTCGTCTTCAATGATAAAATCAAAATAGCTCAATGATGTACAAGTACCATTTGACTTCCCGGTGGTGTGCAGCGGCTGGTTTCCGAAGATGTGGTGCGAAATGAACTTAGTTTTGCAATTAGGAAATATAAATTCTGGCTCATCCGAATAAACACGTATGTGCATAAGGAAACTGATGGTAAAAATAAATTCTGGCTCATCCGAAAAAACACGTATGTGCATAAGGAAACTGATGGTTCATACGTTGTTTTTATACTGAGTCAGAATTTATAATTATCCTGATTGCAAAATTTAGTCCAAATGGTGATGTCTAATTTGAGCGCTGATTTATAAATGATAAAACGACGAGATTCCACCAGATGACACAAGATAGAAGCTTCAGAGCGAACGCATTGCCTTTACACTGATACTCAAAATGGAGAGAACTGAAGGTATGTCTCTTCAGCTTAAATGCAATGCACATCGAGTGCGATCGATGTATTTCGGATGTTACCCTTAGGTTGAATTATTTTTTTGGAAAATCAAAGTTTCAGTCTATGGATGATTCATCGAGAGATTTTCGTCCCAAAAATCATCTTCAAGGCTTAAAATAAAAGTCAAAACGACTGTTATCGACCGATAACCTGTTAACCATGGATATTCATGGAAATTGAGTGCAAAATAAAAACAGTGCCTTTGACTTGTTTGAAGATTTTGGAGCGCCGTTTTTTTTTACTGCCTGTCAATGTTAAGCATTAACATTGGTATTTGGCAGTTATTGATAATGTCAGAAAACAAATTAAGTTTTATGGCAGTGCCATGCACTTAAAGTATGGAAATACATTCGATATGTAAGAAATAAATCGATTTCTAAAATTAAATAACCAAGACTGTCGACTAAGCTGCGCAATACGAGCGGGAATATGAACGCGGAAGCTAAAGAAAGGAATAACGCCAGGAAGCTAACTGCTTTCCGGCCGCCTCCGTACGGGTAGGTCTTGAGGTTACAATTAAAATCTCTGAACAGTAATTTATGCGTTAATGGTAATGATGTTAGCCCTGCTCCGACAAGCTGCGGGCAACCTGCCGCAAAAACATAAACACATACATATTAAAAACATCTTGTGCGACACTTGCTTTTCTTCGTCATGATTTTGATCAAGAATTACGGATACTGTAAGAATTTTTTTATAAAAAAAGAAATAAAAGGTGCAAACATTTAATATAATTGAAATGTATAATTGTTCCGAACGAAAGGAGACAGAAGATGAAGATGTAAAGTAAATCATTGATACGGAAGTATTACAGCTTAAACTCTTTCTGTATGTGTATTGAAATCGGTCAAACATTTGTTACAAATCCATTTTTTATGCTGGG